GGATATTATAAATGGGGTTGGTAAGATCCCTGGACACATGTTATATCTAAAGGGATGAGTGCAAACTGTAGATGCCCCCAAATGGTCATGAAATAAACTGTGTATTTCCAAATCCAAATTGCTCGAGTCTTAGCTTTCTTAACAGAGACCTTTCCAGGTATGTTCAGATGATATTAGGGATTTATCTGAAACCCAAATTCATAATCACACTGGTGGAGAGGTCAGCATTTTGAGAGTGGGTTGCTTATGTTTGACACGAAAGGGCCACACTGGTTTGGACATATATTTATGTTTTTCTGAAAACTCTTCTAAACTTTTACATATACACTCACATTCTCTCTCTGCAGAAGGGAGTGAAATACATATTACAGAGTTATCACTGATTTGGGATTAGGTAGGGAGTTAGTAAAACTGACAGCTGAGAAACATGACTTGGATGTTGATAAGGGATCATAATCTAAACTGCTGATTTTAATGAATGACTTATGACACAAGCAGGCTGTTGTGGACCCAAAGTCCCCATAACCTGTGAAAAATAACAATTTAAATCTCCTCTGTGTCTGTCCTTAAATTCTTTCTTTGATAAGACCAGAAACTTCCTGGCCCAAGGACCTACTGACCCAAATTGAATCATATATTTTGACAAACCAAACCAGGAGACTTGAGGAGACTTGCACACCCGATGCAAGGACAGGTGGATTTGATTTTCTCTGATTCTGGTAAACCTACTTGATCTCTTATAGATAAGGAGGTACTACAGCCTTTGTAGTTTTACTTTCTCATTCTGAACTATTATCTTGAAAAACTTTGTACAACAGTAGAGGTTTATTCTTCCTTCCTATGGCTGGGAAGACCAAATAATTGCATCATAAACTGAAACTACAGGATTGTCATGTTGGGCTTTTCATGTATTTTTTTCTTCCTTCTGCCTTCTTGCTTGTACAAAGGAGAGTTTTGCTGTTTAAGATCATTTGGAAGTTTAGCTGTCTTAGCCATACCTAACTGAAATGTAACATTCTGTAACTATGAGACTCATGTGAGGATAAATCAAAATATGTGTAAAGGCATTTAAAAAAAATTACAGTGGAGCAAAGTTTGCATGCTACTTGCAGCTATGTGTGGAAGGAAATCTTTGTTTTATTTTATTAGAAATATGGCTTAGGTTAAAAAGTTAGGTAAAAGGGAGCCATAAAGTAGAAGAGGAGATGCAAAAGAAGGTTATAAATAAAAAGAGATATGAAAGGATTGAGAATATAAATAAGGCTTTTTTCTAAAAGCAGTAGATTATTACAAAATGCGAATGGACGGATAAGGGCAAAACCAGAAGGCAAAAAGCATGTCACAGGAGGGTTGTGTTAGGGCTTATGCTGAGGTGCAACTGATGGAATATGGTAGGGCACAAGGAGACATAAGAAAGTTGTAAGAGGACAGTCTCTGGATAAAAAATGTTTTTACATGGTAAAATAAAGTTTTGTCTTAAAGGATTGTTCCAAAATGGAAATAAATAAAAACAAACCAAGGAGATCAAAGCACGTCACAGAAGGAGATTGTGGTAGGGTTTGTTATGCAATATAACTGATAGGAAACCTAATGCTGTCTTAATAAATTCTCTAAAGACTTCTTAAGCACCAATAAAGCCAGGACACAAAAAAGAGCATCATCAATCTCCTCTCTGAGATAGCCTGCTCTCCTCTCTGGGCGGGGGGCGTAGTCCTCTTAATAAACTTTGCTATTATGTTCACTAGGTTTTCTGACTTGCTGGAAATCTCTTGTGGGATGCAAGGACAGAAGACTGCAACCAAAATTTTAAGTAACACCTCCTCCAATAGGTTTTTTACTATCTCTTCTGCTCTTCAAGAAAAAAAAAAAAAGGTACTGAACAACTTCCTATGCCCTCATCAGTGGGATTCCATAGATGCCTCATGGCCAGGTATTCTGGGACACTGAGGTTTTGCTATGATTTTCTGTACCCCATTTCTGCAGCTCATTTTGATCCCCACCCCAAGAGGCCTTCTTGGAATCTCAGGACTTCTGTTTTCATCCATACTCTGAATTTTGGGGGGGGAAGAATCTCAAGTAAGTACTGTTTTTTTTTTTTCTTATTCTGCCACATCTCTTCTGAATTGCCATGTCTTTTTCCATGGGGATGGATGGGACCCTGGGAAACTCCAGATGATAATGGCTGGGTTGTCTAGACTTCTAAGTAACATTCATCTTGTTAGTCAACATAGTCATCTCCTGGAGAACCCTGGGTTTTCTCAACACTTTGGGTCACCACTTTCTGTGAATATCCTTTCCTGAGAGACCAGTTTTCCCTGAGAGACCAGGGCAACCCCAGAGTGGTCCTTGTGAATGTCCCTTTGGATCATGTAAGTCCTCTGTTCAAAAACTTTCAACAGGTCTCATTCCTCTCTGAGGGCAACACAAAGGAGATATAACAGACCTAAATAGACTAGAAAACCTGCCTCCCATCTCCAAAATCCCCATTTCTCTCACCTAATTCCTTATAATCTTTCTCAGATAGAGCTACCCTGCTGTTCTTCCAATACACAGGTCCATTTCTAGCCCAGAGTCTTTACTTGTCAGTTCTTCTGCCTAGAAGAATTTTCCTTTCTATGTTTGCATGGATCAATCCTTCACCTCCTAACTCGCATGTCATCTTATCAGTATGTCTTTCTCTACTTACTCTTTTTAAAATTTACAAACACACTCTTCATCCTTCTCCAGCCCACATTCCCTATTTCCCCACTTCTGTATTGTTTTTCTTATTATCCCTTATTACTACCTAACATACTGCACAGTTTACCAACTTGTTTTGTATATGGTCCTTTGTAGAATGTAAGTTCCAGAAGGGTTAGGATTGTTGTCATTTTTATCCATTACTGTTTTAAAATATTTACTGAGCAGGGTCTAATAAAGATTTGTTGAATGAGTGAATGAATTAATTAATGAGGATTTCATTTTGAGGAGATGAGAATTTTTAAATACTGGTGATAGTTGTATGTTTCTGTGAATATACTAAAAATCACTGAAATACTTCAAATGAGTCACCTGTATGCTATGTGAGAAAAGGCTGTTAAAAAAAAGAGAGCGAGAAAAGGGCATAGTATCCCGTAACCAAGGAGACTTCTGTGTGTGATCTGCATGAGTAGGATACACAGAGCGATCCCCTTCGTTATGAGGGCATTAGTCTGAATCTGAACTAGGAGAGGCATTCACACAATGGTTTACATTAGGAGCTCTAGAGTCAGATGGCCAAGGTTCAAGTCCCAAAAGCACCATTTTCTAGTTGTGGAGCCTTGGAAAACTCAACAAATTTCTCTATAAATTTTTTTGCATGCAAAATGGCTGACAATATTACCAAGTTCTTGTGAGGATGAAATAGGACATCTCCTGTAAATGCCTTAGCACAGTGTATGGCCCCATGGTGAGTGTTCAATATATGGTTGCTGTTTTTGTTTTCCTTATGATTATATTCTGGAGAACTAGGCATAGGTTACTGGAGAAAGTCAGATAGCAGTGGGAGTAGCTGGGTCTCAGAGCCAGTAATCTCCCATTAAAATTGACTTTGACTTTGTCAGGTCAACCCAAACATTGCCTTGATCTTCTTACAGTAGCTCAAGAACAAGGCAACCCATAAAAACTATGTGGAACTTGTTGAAAACAAATCTTTGATGGGTTATAGCTCAATGGTAGAGTATTGGCCTAGCATGTGCAAAGTCCTGGGGTCAACATCCAGCACAGAATAAAAGGTATCTTTGAGTGTCATGTTTAGGTGTCAGGCAGTGGTTCTCAGGGAAAAGTCCCGGGAACAAAGCATTATTAACACCAGTCCTGCAAGATACCAGCTGTTAGGATATAGCCTAATAATCTGGGTTGTAACAATTCCTCTAGATGATGCTAATGTATACTTTGAGGGTTTTGCTGTTGTTGTATTGAGGACTGAACTCAGGGTCTTGTACTTGTGAGGCAAGTGCTTTACAGCTTGAGCCATGCCTACAGTCCTTTTGCTTTTAGCTTGTTTTTTGGATAGGACCTCATTAACTTTACCCCAGACTGTGATCCTCCTACCTCCACTTCCTGAATAGCTGGAAGTTGAAAATAATTGATCAAGTAGGATCTGATTTTTGATAAGAAATTCATGCGATTGACCCATGAATATGCATATTGTCATGGGAAAGCCAACACTATGACAAAAGCATTATATAAAGCATCTATTAATAGTGACAGCTGAACATCTGCAGGTTTCTAACCCTATAAGCAGAAACAGCCTCAGAATTTTCTTACATATCCTCAGCAAAGAAATGGACAGGTCATATAACTTCCATAAGAACCTATTTCCTCTGGTATGCTACTTTAATTTCTACCAAGCTTACTCATTAGTGTGTGTATATATTTTTTTTTTTGATCATGAGCTTTTTCAAGGCTACTTCATTGCTAAATTTACTTAAAGTATATGCCACTAAATATTAATCATGTCAAGGCATCAGAAACAATGGAGAGAATGTCAAAATCCATGATAAAACAGTTTGAAGGGCATAAGTGATCATTAGTAGAGAAGGTGGTATTTGCTTTTGTAGGGAGCTTTAGGAATTGGGAAGGCAGCTGTCCGCATTGGTCCTTTAGATACTGACTTTTTAAAAAGTGAGCTGTGTAATTCTCAGTAAGTTTTTTGAAAAGCCAGTGAAACAGAAAAAGTAAAAATTTACTTGGGACCTGTTCATAATTTCATTAAAGATAAGATTTTTTAACAACTTCCTGGTACGATTTCAGATATCTCCTAGAACAGAGAGAACAGAGAAGAGCTTAGTGAATGTTCTAGAATAATTGGGTTGATGAAATATTAATGTGATGGACACCAAGTATACTATGCCCTCTTCCAGGTTGCTGCCATTTGTGCCTGTCCTTGTCTATTTTGAGTTACTGAAGCGCATTAAACATTGGCTATGGAAAACATGGCTGCAGCTACACAAACCTAAGTCATGTTTCTTGGGGCTTACCAGTTTAATATGTTCTCGCTTCTGGTATTTTTCACTATAATACTGTTCTTGCCGAAGATTAAGCAGCTGCTGCTGTTGCTTGTCCTTCAAGTCTATCAGCTTTTGGGTCATTTCAGCATCCAGGGCAGCAAGGTCTTGCTCAATGGTAGACGAGCCATGGTCAGGACTGCTGGGCTCTGATCTGCAAAGACACAGAGCTTGACTCACAAAACATGCAGGTGGTCACAGATTTGGGAAGGGCTACTCACCAGAGTTCCTCAAGAGTGCACTTTGCTTGCTGAGAAGTCACCTGGGATAAAGGCAGAGACCTGCAAGAAGAAGTATAGCAACAGAAGTTGCTGAGAGTGAGGTATTTATTTTGCTCTAAAATGAGAGAGGGGCAGAAAAAAGGCCAGGAAGATAGGCACACTGATTGTCGGGGTGATGAGAATGACAATTCCCCTCTGGGAAAAACAATATTTGGCCAGGGATTTTTAAGGTGTTTATTTATTTATTGTGCGGTGCTGGAGATGGAACTCAGGACCTTGCTAAGCAAGCATTCTGAACTCCATCCCCAGATCTTGTTTTGTTTTGTTTTTGAGACAGGGTTACCGAAGAAGCCCAGTCTGGGCTGAAACTTGAGATCCTCTTTCCTCTGCCTGCAAATGCTGGGATTTTTTATGCCACCAACCCTGACTCTTATTTATTTTTAATGTGGCATGTATAATGCCTTCCTAACTACATTTCTGCTTTACAAACTTACTATGTCCACTGGAGTCTGTTGGGGAAAGCTGAAGAGGTACAATTGTTTTGCATGTGGGGTGATGCAGATTGAGAAAATAGACCATGTGTAGACAACATATGGAGATAACTCAGTTGACATCTGAGTTCTGTTTCTTAAGATTTTTAATAGCATGGATGTACAATGAAAATAGTGTTCTTTGAGGGCTGTACCAACTTAATTGATATCACTATCCAAATGGAAGTTTCCTCAAAATGCTTAAGTTACAAGGGAAAGAGAGTTTAGGATGAGCTTTTAGTTCATTCTAAAATATTTACTGAGTGCATATTCTGGGCAGGATGACTTTTTCTGCATTGTTCTTAGAGAATTAAGATGTTTATAATGTTAGGACTAATGCTGAGATAAATTAAAGCAATTCTCTCTAACCTATGGTATGATTCCCTACAATTTTGTACTCTGTATCATCACTTGTAAAGAACAGTGGGAAGGAAGATAGAGTGTTAGGGACAGGGACCAGAGAGCAGGTATGCTGTTTACATTTATAGGAAACTCTCTTCAGGGAGAAGACCAAACCCTTATCTCTGATATCACTCCATCAGTGTTTCTCATTGGCTATCAATAGGGAAAAATAGGGAATAGGGAGAGGAAGTTTCTAGAATTAACTGTCTCTGATTCCCATTGCTTTTCCTTGGAATTAGTCCAGTATCTAGGGCATCATACGGACAAAGCAGTTGTTTGGAGCTGGTGTTAGGATCTTACTTTGTCAAACAAGGTATGGAGAATTCTCCCTAAAAGTTCTTTTTTGCATTTTCATATGCAATGCCAAATGGAACTAAATTCTCTCCAAGACTCATGGAGCCTTTCAAAGCAGTGTTAAGAAGGCTCTCCATCTTGGTATGAACATGAGATGCACTTATCATTTTTGTAGTGTGAAATCAGTGTAACCAAAACATGAAGATGTTTCTAAAAACCGCTGCTACCACCACAGCAGTGGCTGCTCAACGTGTGCCAGGCACACTTGCAACAATCCGCCACTTATGTCTGACCATTTCCAGTTTATATGTGAGGACCCTGGGGCTTAGTGATGTAATTTGCTCAAGAACACTGCATGGGGGTGCCAAAGTATACCTTCCCAAGGACAAACTTCCCTGGCAGGACAAATTCTGTGCTTTTAGCAACAACATGATGTCATTGCGTGCCAGGTCTGGACAGAAACTATGAGTAAACTGTTCTTCACATTATGTGGAAAGCTCAGTTGAGACAATGATTATTTGAGTAAGAAAATAATCTACAAAATATGATGTCCATTCATTACTCTGAGACATTTTTAGGATTTAATTGTGAGTCAAGGGAGATAAGAGAGGCACATAATGAAGACCTCAGTGACTTTGCTTCTCCTGATATATCTTTAGATACTAGGTGCTAAGGGGTTTTTGTTTATAAGGGATGATCTAAAAAAAAGATAACCACAGGAGCAATGTTTCTGTTTCTGCCATAAAAACAGGTAGAAGGCACATGAAATATATTCTCTGGTAATTTAATACTGGGAAACATTTGTCTCTCTGGGAAGAACAAGCAAGTTTGCTTTAATCAGATAAGGAGGATTATCTGACCCATATTTCCTTTTCTCAGAGGCCAAGAGGTGAATTCAGTGTTCAGGGACAGAAACTACATTAAATCAGGTATGTATTTCATCGCTACAGCACATGTCAATGACAATGAGATTATTTTTTTCAGGGTGCTGGGAACTGAATCAGGGCCTTGCCTATCCGAAACATCTACTGAGATTCCCACAGCACAGATGAGCCACATTTCAAGGGCTCAGTAACCACATCTGGCTTGCGGATCCTGTATTAGATCCATTATTAGATAATGGGTCTAGATAACTGGTCTGAAACTCAGTCTCTGTGTGTGTGTGTGTATGTGCATGTGTAATTTTTTTATTTTCATAGGATTTTTGTATATGTCTTCCATGACATTATTTGGATGCTCTGTTGGATGTTTGCACATACTTAAAAGCAAATGCGTGAATAAACAAAAGAATAAGTATGTATCATTAGCATAGAAATATAAATGTTTCAGACCAAGCTTTGCCTTAACTGGCTATGTAATTACAGGCCAATGCCTTTAGCCTTTAGTTTTTAGCTTCCTCCTTGGAGAAGTGACTTTTCACCTAGATGGTTTACATCTGTCTCAGCTCTAAGGGAAAACGATTTGGTTGTTTTTTTAAAAAATCAAATATTGCATTTTAATAGTGTTTTCAAGTTAAGCAAATGTTACACCATATGTCACAATATGGTTCTAAAATATGCATCTTGCTTCTGTATACAACCTGGTATGCAAATAAGATGATTCAGTAAGGATGTAAAAGGAATAATGTAACACAGTCTACCTTATTCTTGGCTCACTGATAGGTAGCTTACATACTCACACAGTTTCAGAGTGATTTATAAAGTTTTCATGTAGACAATAAAGCTTTATGTCTCAGTGACAATTCTCATAAGGCAAGACCTCAAGAGACCGTTTAATGAGAAAACCAATGATAATATTTCCAAAAAAGTTTTGAATGCTAGCTCTGTATGTGATTTCCTAGAGTAGTGAAGATCATTGCATTATCTTTGATTTGATTTTGTCCATTTGTTAGCCAACATATAAAAAATCGGGATAGCTGATCGAAGTAAGTTCCAAACTGGACATGGTAGCACTTGACTATAACACTTGCACTCAGGAGGCTGAGGCAAGAGGACTGCAAATTCAAGGCTAGCCTGAGCTATGTAGCAAGCCTCTATGTTAAGCAAGCAAGCAAGCAAACAAACAAATGACCACCACCAACAACAAAAAGAATAATTTGTACACTATAGCTATGGAAAATGAAGTAACTAAGTTGAGAACTGGCATTTCTCACCTCTGTGAAACACAATTCATTAAAATACCAAAAATACATTAAAATTGAACTAAAGAATACTTTTGAAAATTATAAATTTTTAAACTATATCTTTTAATAGCACAAATAACATTTTACTATAAAAATGGTGTGAGTCGATGTTCATTAAGGTTTTAGAACATTGCCTTACACAGTGCTCTGTTAGTGCTCATTAAAGAATAAAAATTAAAAATTGAAAATATTTTTGAGGGCTTGAGGTATGGCTTAAGTGGTAGTGTGTGCTTTACAAGCATGAAACCCCAGTCCCACACACAAAATAATATTTTTGAGGTCCAGCTAAATAAACCTTAAGAACAGCAAATATTGTTTATTCCCTAAAAGGACAGTAGAAAATTTAAAGTAGAAGCATTTTATTTCCATTTCCCTAATTAATAAACTTTGAAGAAGATATTTTCATATCAAAATTGTCCCCACTGATTAGAGAGCTTCATGTTGCAAAATATCATTCATTGTCAGCAAGTTCATACTTGAAGCCTGCAAAGAATGCTCAAAGAAATTTCAGGAATATGAACTTAGAGGAATTGTCTCATAACATTTGGGATAGTTAAGGAGAAAACTTCTTGGGCATTGTTACTTCATGCATCCACTCATAGTGTAGAGATTCTAAAAAAGACAGTTATAAGATTCTAAGCCCCTTGTAGGGTTGTAAGGGAGGCAGGTTCCAGACTTACTATGTCATAGTAAGTCTTACACAGCTGGGGTCTGAACAAGGTGTGAAGCACTGTGCTGAAGTTCAAGGCTACTGCGACTGTAGCCTTGTCTGAGGGCAGGCTTACTGAGCTTAGCTTGCTCAGAGTAGGTGATACCTGAACCTACTTCACACAGGAGCTGTTCATGCTATAGGAAATACATGGAATGGTGCATATAAGTGCTTAGTACGTGTTCTGAGTTGAATGGTGTCCCCTTGGTTTACATGTCATTCCTAGAACCAGTGCTTATTACCTTCTTTGGACAACTGCTTGTTGCAAATGTAATAGCTATGATCAAGTAGTAGTGGATTAGTGTGGGCTCTAATCTAGTGACTGATGTCCTTAAAAGAGGAAATTTGGGCAGGTACACTTGTGACACTAAAGATAAGACTGGAGTGATGAGTTTATAAGTTAAGGTATGCCAAGGATTGCCTGCCTCAACCAAAACCTAGAAGAGACAAGGAAAGATTCCTCCCCTAGACCTTTCAGAGTAGGTGCCCCAATGGCACTTGTATTTTAAACTCCTAGCCTCCAGAATTGGGAGACTACAAATTTCTGCCATTTTATAGCATCTTTGTACAGCAGTCCTAGAAAACTGATACAACATGTATCTTTAGAATATCCTTGACATTCAATAAAGGGGCTAAGCCAAGTTTGGACATAGCTTCTCACCAGGATCCAAAGGAGGAATCTGAGTTGTCAGTCAGACGTTGTATCCAGGAAGTACGGGGATAAGTTGTGGCTAGCCACCCAATGTGGACTTCTGAGAGCAAGTGTTGTTCTAAAATCCATCTGGAAATCAACTATCAGAAAGCTTAGGCTCTGACATTGGCAGCAGGCCTTTGCTGAGTTTAGAGGTAGATGTCATGCAAGAGACTTGTAATTAAGGAAGAGTGCATGACCATGGAGAATCCTAACTTCTCTGTTCATCTTGGGATCTAAGCAGGAGCTGCAGGTTTTATGAGGGGCACTGTGGAATGAGGCCATAGAGGCAGGCAGAACTAAGCCAAAGAAGGTCACCCTGCACTTTCTGGAATGCCTTTGAAGGATTCTTGAGTAAGGCCACCAGTGGGAAGTCTATGGATCAGCAGCATCAGCAAACCCTGGGAGCTTATTTAGAAATGCAGATGCTCAGAACCCATCCTAGGCCCCTGAGTCAGACCCTCTGGACTTGAGGCCCAGGAGTCTGTGTGTAAGTGGCTCTCCCACTGATTCTCATACATCCTAAAATTTGAGATGCACTGGTCTAGTCTAAACAAGCAAGTGCCACGAACAGATTTGGCTTAGGGTGACAACATGAGTTTCATTCTCCACAAGGACAACTGAGAATTATACAGCCATACAAGTAGATTTCTTTTCTGCTCCAGGTTTCTGATCCTATATCCTAGGCTCCCTTTTTAAAAAAAAAAATCAAGCTGGCCATAGTGGCCTACACTTCTAATCTTAGCAATTTGGAAGCAGATGTAGGAGTATTGCAAGTTCGAAGCCAGCCTCAGCTACATAGTGAGACCCTGTCACACAAACACAAAAATTCATCCTCTTCACTTCTGCCCCAATCACCCTAGACCAAGCATCATCATCACTCAGCTGAACTCATGAGAAAGTGTTCCACTGGTCACCTTGTACCTTCTCTGAGTTTTGGTCCTCACTGTCAGTATCATCCAGGACCCGAGGCATCAGCATCACTTGGTGCTGCTTAGATCCCATCTTGGATCTGCTGAGTCAGAACCTGCATCTGACAAGATTTCCGGTGACTCCTGTATCTATTTGAGAAGCCCAGCTCAAGGGTCCACCTTCTCTAGAATTATTTCCTGAGAATATTAATTAGACCAAATCAATTCCACCTAATTTCTTCTTCAGTGAATTGTTATTGCTCTTACATAAATTTTGAACTGTCACATGCTAAAGAATTCAGTAAGATGACTGATCCTTCCTCCTATTTCTCTGACTTCTTAGTTTACCATGTTTCACCCATTTGCCAACTTTACTGTTCCTGGAACAAGTGCCTTTTTTCCTGCTTCAGGGCCTGCTGTAGTTTAAATATAAGCAGTCCCCCCACAGGCTCTTGTATTGAATGTTTGGTCTTCAGCTGGTGGCACTAGTTTGGGAAGCTCTGGAAATGTTAAGAGGTGGGGCTTATTAGAGGAAGGAGGTCACTTTGAGAGCAATACCTGGGCCCCAGTCCTTTCTTGTGCTCTGCTTCCTGTTCACCATGAAGTGAAAACCTCCTCCACATGATCACACGCCATAGTATTCTGTCTCACAACCCAGGGTCAAAAGAGAACCAGGATCAAAAGAGTCAAGGATTATGAACTGAAATCTCCGAAAGTGTGAGCCCAAATAAATCCTTCCTCCTTTATGCTGTTTCTGTCAGGTATTTTGCCTCAATGATGAGAAAACTAAGAGAAAATTGGCACCAAAGATGTAGGGTCATTGCTGTGATGAAATGTAACCATGTGTTTCTTAAATCTTTAGAACTGGTTTGTAGGAAGAATGTGGGTGACTTTGGAGAAGTGGACTTGTAGGTCCCAACATGCTGTAAGCAGAGATTAATGGGCTATTCTGGTAGGAGTTCAGAAGAACAGAATGCTGATAGACATGCAGATAGTACAGTCTGTGCTCTTGAGGCTTCAGGTGGAAATGAAGACCATATTGGGAATGAGACTATAGGCCATTTGTGTTATATTCTGGCAAAGACTTTGTTTGCATTTTGTCCATATCCTGAGACTTTATTTTTCTTTTTTTTGCAATACTGGGGTTTCAACTCAAGGCCTCACACTTGCTAGGCATGTGGCATGCACTTTACCAGTTGAGCCACTCCCCCCATCCATGTCCAGAGACTTTGAGTGAGGCTGAATTTACAAGTAATGGACTAATTAATTTGAAAGAGGAAGGCAGCATAGCATTTAGGCTGTGGTATGGTGATTGCTGGCTTCTTTTAGGCAGGTTTACAGTGAAAATTGGTAGCAAAAAGCAATGTGGAAAGATTTGAAAAAATGTGCTGCTTGGCTAAAAGAGGAGAAGTTTAAAGTTGTAGACAAGTTGGTGTGGTTGTTAGAGATTGGCATCATTAAAAAGAGACAAAGTTCTTTGTACCAAGACAGAAACTGGTCAGTTCTCACCCAATACAGGATCAAGGATTTAAAGGTTTTAACTCATTTGAAAGACTTCGCTTTGAGAGAACATGCTAGGGAGTCACATGCTAGTGGCCACAGTGCCACTTAGGGATGTCTTCCAGAGTACAGCCTTGGTCCAAGGAAGGAGCCAGCTACTATTCCAGCTGTTGACAGACATTGACACCAATTGTATTACTTTTATAGGCATGCAGAATTCAAGTTATGGGGTCATGGAGTCTTCCAACCAGATTTTAAAAGAAGGTCCTGGAGGCCAGGCAATTTGTGGCAGGGTTAGCATATCTGTAAGCAGCTCCTGAAAAGGCAATGTGTGAAGTGGTGAGGGTAAATGCTAGCAGCGTGGAGACTTCAGGGTGTTGGAGATGTCAGGAACATGGAACATCTGCTGAGGAAAGCCCACAGGGAATGAATGATGACATTCCAGAAGAGAAGTCATGTGGGCTGCAAAAGGCAACCCCATAGGAGCAAAGCTGCCCAAGCTTTTGGGCTCACATCATAATACTATGTGCTCCGGATGACAGACATAGAGCTATAGGACCTAATATTTTCCCTGCTGAGTTTCAGTCTTGCTTTGGTCTGATCCTTCCTTGGCTGTTTTCCTGTTCCTCCATTTCATAATGGGAATGTTTACTTTGTATAATTGTATCTTGGGAGTACATAACTTTTTCTAAAGGGGCTCACAGCTATGAGTTTGCCTTTAGTCTCAGAGGAGACTTTGAATTTGGACTTCTGAATGATGTTGGAACTGTTAAGATTGTTGGGACTCTTGGAGATGGACTGAATGCATTTTGCCTTAGGAGATGGCCATGAGCCTCTGGGAGCCACAGGAAGAATGTTATGGTTTGAATATGATATGTACCCCACAAGTTCATGTGTTGAATGCTTTGTTTCCTTAGCTGGTGACACTATTTTGGGAGTCTATAGAAACTTTCAGAGGTGGAGCCTAGTTGGAGGAAGGAGGGCAGTGGGGAATGTCTTTGAAGGTAATACCTGATCCCCAGTCCCTTCCTTATACTCTGCTTCTTGGTACGATGATGTTCTGCCTCACCATGGGCCCAGAGCTAAGGACTACGCACTGAGATCTCTGAAACTGTGAGCCCAAATAAACCCTTTCTGCTTTAGGTATTTTGTCACACAATCTGAAAAATGGCTATTGCCAGGTCTTTACTCTTGCTGTTTCTTCAGCCTGGCATAATTCTCCCTCCTTCTTTACATAGTTAATTATGACTTTTATGAGTCACCTCATTCCATGTCAAAATGGCTCTCCTATCTCTAGTTATTCTTTATCACATTATCCTATTTATTTCTTCCTTTGATAGTCCTCATCATAATCTAAAATTATGTTGTATAATTATTTATTCCTTTTTGTTCATCTTCCCTGCATTATCACGTTAGATATTTGAGAGTGAAAAATGTGTGCCGTTGTTCCCAAGGCACAACGCATTCAATAAATATTAGTTTGATAAACGCACGAGGGACACTTCTGTTTGTCAGTGTTTGGGTAAACGGGGATGTAGGGACCCCAGGTCCACACATAGGTGTCACCTGAGTAAGAAATTATGGGTTTCAGACAGGGCAGCAAAAGAGGAGTTGCTCAAGACCAGCCCGTGCAACAGGCTTTAAAACATAAAAAAAAAAAAAAAAAAAAGGAAAGTTAGTAAATTCAACCCACAAGCAAAAGTGAGCTAAAAGTGACTCAAGAGCCGTAGAGAATGGAGAGGGTTGGGAGACTTTCCTTCTTGTAATGGTATAGGTTCAAAAATATGGCATAACACATCATAAAACATTGACAGTCCATGGAAATGACTTTCTTCCTTCATACTATAACACAGACAAGTACTCAGTCAACTCACTTTTTCTTGCTGTCCTTTTTGGCAGTCTTTTCCAAAGTTGCCCGCCTTCTCAAGTAGTCGTTCTGAATTTCATTATACTTTGTAGTGTGTTCTTTGATCAGGTCCGTGGTTTTCTTGTGGTGTCTCTTAACCAGGTCTTTCATTTCTTTGTAGTGCTTCTTTTGAAGTTTCACAAATGATTTCTGTTGTTTAAGCTCTTCAATAGTCTGTGCTTCCACTTCTGCAACAAGTGAGCATAAGAGATAAGGAATAGGAAGAACTGAAAGCCCAGATGAAGAGATGCTGTGACCTACTTAGTGAGCAACATCTTGGCCAACTGCAGCTTAAAAGCAGAGTTTTGGTGTCCAGTATGTCTGGGTTCTGGTCTGGCTCTATGCTCTATGTTAACTTTTCAACTGTGTTTCTGAACTTCTCAGAGATTCAATTTCTTCATTTGCCTATATATTTTTATTAAAGTTTTGGTCCCCTAGAAGCAGAGTCCAAGATGGGCATTCAGGTGCATGTGATTTACTGGGGGGCCTCCAGGAAGGAAGTTGGGCAGGGGCATTCTCTGAGTAAGGATGTGTGTCATTGGGAGCCTGGTTTCCTCCTGACCCCCGAGGAACCCTGTCGTGTGAATTGCAGTAAGGGCCAGTATCCTTGTGATGCAAGAAGGTCAGCTTCTTGCATATTGGAGACAGCCAATGGGGAAGCATAACCTTCTGAAAGGGTCTTCCTTTTGGCTGAGGTCACTTTTGCAGAGAAGGAGAAGCCATGAGCAGGTGCATCAGATGTACAGGAAATCTGGGCAGGGCACCAATAGCAGCTGCTTTAAGGATTATAACACTTCTACTACTTTATAGGGTTGCTATGATGATACATAAAAGAATTCATGGAAAGTGCTTAATAGTTTTGAGCACTGTGCCTATAGAGGCTTTGTAAATAATTATGCATATTCCACAGTGTCATCTCTGAGGAATGCCATTCACAGTAAAGACATGGTAGGTTTGTACATTAATCTCAACAGTATATGGCAGCAAAGTGCCTTAAGGGAAGATCCTTTAATCTCATTTGCACAAAACCATCAAAAGGGTTGGTGACAGCCTAGGTGACAGCATTTTATTCAATGGTAAGGAAACATTTAATGTGACATGGCCTGACCCTAAACATTCTTTACTGCACAAACGTAGTTCATCAATTCTACAATATGCATTTCTGAAATGAAGATGCATCTTACAATCTTACAGTCAGTCGGGTATCACAGTTTCTTAGAGCTGTTCATTCTTAGGAATACATGAACAGTGGTGTGGCTTTCAATTGATGGTGTCTTAACTTCTGTGAGCTACCATTTATTTGAACCCAGATTAAGTCAGAGTTCACATGTTTCCATTCTTTGATCTGAACTTTCTGCTTCTGGGAACAAAAAAATGTTACCATAAATATTTAGAGCTGTCAAGATGTTCTGAAATAATATATGCCATGAATAGCAAAGGAAGTGAATAGAAAATGATATGTCTAGTGGATAAACAGTGAAATCACAATAATAATTTATGCTCCTAAATACTATCATCTTTAAGCAATTGAAATATGTTTTTCCCCTTATAATGTGTCTATTATCTTGACATTAAATTGGTTTTTTTTTCCTTTTTGAGAAAAAAAAAAACATGGCAAAAACCAGGTACATTTATTTAATGGTTTCCCTCAGGCCCAAACTGACTCATTATGGTTGCATAATAAGTTATTACATTAAGAATTAATAATCCTAAAGATTTCCTACAGTTTTGGTAATTGACTCAACCTTACTTCTTTAAAACTAGTTTTCAGTACTAGTTCATTGCTGTGTGGGCAATGTGGAATGGGATTCCAAATCTTCTAGCCTATGATAAAAAGAAATCCACCTGAAAAATTATCTTTCAAAAAGTCTATAATTAAAGGGGCCAGGTGCTGGTGCTGTGTCCTTGTCATCTCAGGTACATGGGAGGCTGAGACCAAAGGATCAGGGCTCCAGGTAAGCCCAGTGAAAAATTTGCAAAATCTCATCTCAACAAAAAAAAGCTGGGTGTGGTGGTGTGTACCTATCATCCCAGCTACTGCCAGAAGCATAAATAGGAGAATCATGGTCCTGGTAAGCATAGGCAAAAAAATGATAACCTAACTCAAAAATAACCAGAACAAAAAGATGTGGAGGTGTGGCTCAAGCAGTAGAGCCCCTGAGTTCAAATCCCAGTATAGCCAAAAAAAAAAAAAAAAAAGTCTATAGTAAAAGGCTATTCCTTACAATATGTTCCTAAGTGTAAAGGTAATGTGCATTCATATAAAGACACAAATATCACCCAAAAGGCGTTGTTGCACACCACTGCCTTTTGTCTAAGCATTTATGTAATTTTAAATAACATTGGGAACATTAGTCTTTTGTTTTATATGTCAAAGTTGTATTGTTTCCCATGGAACTGTTTTTTATTTTCTTTTAGTACATTCCCCAAGTAATTTTTCTATATACTTTGTGAAATACAAATGCATGTATACAAGTACATATATCATAAACATCTAGCCCCGCAACTTTTCAGAAAGTTAACATGTATCAATAGCCAACACCCAGGTGAGAATCAAAATGTTGCTAGCACCCAGACACCTTCTTTTTGGTTCCTGCCCCCAGCAGTTATAATCCAAGTCTTGGTCTTGGAATTAGCTTTGCCTGTCCTGGAATTTTATGCTGGCATAAAGTTTTTCTCAGCAGTATGCTTGTGAGTTTTATCCATGTTGGGTGTGATTGTAGTTTATCCCTGTACCTGTATCCTATTCTATCCTGTGAATACAGCATGATTTATTTATCTATTTTATCATTGATGAACATTTGGGTTGTTGACATTTGGCTCTTAATAATGGTGACAGTCTTGGTAAGCATGTGTGTGCATTTCTGTTACGTATTGGGCCAAGTTTTTTAAAGAATGTTAAGACTTCACTACATAATGAGTGACAATTGTATTGAAGAAAACTTGTACTAATTTTAGTCACACTAGTTTATATAATTAACCAACATAAATGCCTCTAGAGTACCTAGGATTACAGGCATGTACCACCACGCCCAGCTATATCACAGTTCTTAAATATTGTGCATTTTAAAGTCACAAACAAACCCTATTCTGCATATATAAAGTATGGTTTATTAGCTGGGTGTGGTGGTACACATCTGTATTCCAGCACTTGGGGAGGCTGAGTCAGGAGGATCATCAGTTCCAGGGCAGCCTGGTTACATAGCAAAACTCTGACTCAAAACACCAAAATATTTAAAAAATAAAATAATATTTATTGTCAGCACTTTAGGAAACTATGCATTCCCGTATGTTAAGTTGTATTTCCAGCAGGAAACTGTTCTTTAATTCTAAAATAGCTATCTTCTGAAACAATTATTTTTAGCCAGTAGGGTTCTATCTACCAACCGCAGTTATTTCTCTGAGATTACATTATATAATGTGGCATGAACTAGGGCTAAATGTATGCAGATTCTTCTGCATGCATTAATATTATGACTTATTTTTCAGACGCAGATGAAAATCTCCTTTCTACTAAATCCTTACACTGTGTAATGTTCAGCTGCCAAATTCCAGAAGGGGAAAAGGGTAATATTTACCTGTTAAGACACTTTGAATAAGATCTTCTGTTTTGGCAGGTGCCTTTACAGAACCTGCAATAAATGATAAAATGAATAGCCTTCTTTAATGTCTTAAATTTATTCTTTCCATTAAAAGAAATGTTCAAGGCTGGGGGAACAGCTCATGTATGAGGCTCTTGGATCTATCCCACCATTGAGAACAAACAAACAAAAAGTTTGGTCCTTAATTCTAAGTCTCTTTATACAGAATGACATATTTTGAGAAGGAATTTATACCAAAATTGTCCTAAAATTTCTTCATTTGTAATATTGAGATAATCCTAATTAAATAGGAGATGATATGTATTCCCCTGTAGATAGTGAGAAAAAGGATATCCTAAATGGCTTTCCGCTTAAGTAATGCTACTGCCACCTTTTGACCAAATCAGGAATGACAAGCGATCTTTTAAAAATCAAAAGCTGACCACCAAACAGTAATAATTATTGCAGGCAAGAACCATTGGTGAATGTCAAAATCAGAGGGCAAAGTATCAAGAGAAACAGGATACTTGTGTAGTTTCAAGGTATGTCTCCCAAGACATCTAAGAGTGAGAAAAAGAATCACAACTTTCAGTGGGGAAACCACCTTCACACAGTTCCCTGACATCACCACGAGGGGATACATCAACATTGCGAACGTCTGACAGGACACACTGAGAAAGGCACGGTATCAAAACATCAAAATATGAAGAGCCTCAACTTTATCATGAGAAGACATCAAGCAACTCACACTGAGGGACGTTGTGCAAAATAACAGCCAGGACTCCTCAAAGGATTCAAGCCATCAGAGATTAAAGGAGCCTGAGGGGACATGACAAATAAGTGCGGTGTGGGGTCCTGAGAGGGAATGTGGAACAGTGAAAGGACATGTAGTGGAAAACCCGTGAAGTTCAAACAAGGTCTGCTCTTCAGCTCCGAGCGTAGTGTCAGGGTTAATTTCCTGGTTTGAAAGTTGAGCCAGAATCTTGCCAGATGCTAACTTTAGAGGAAGGGCAGAATTTTTGCCATTTGTTCACTGCCATTTTAAAAATGATTCTGTGAGTCAAATTATTCTGAAATATCACTTTAAAAATCTGATGCTAAAATGCTAAATTTTCTTTTTCTCCCAGAAGCACAATGTTTATTCATATATTTACCTGATTTATTTTTATTTCAGAAGTGCTTGATAAGTTTGCAGCTGATATTTAATAATCTTTATTTGCAAATAATACTTTTTGTGTATAATTTTATAATTACTGATTTCAAGAACCTTCTTAAAAACAGTATCAGGTCATGCATGTCTGATATAAATTAAATAGAATTTGTTCTTGCTAAAATATCACCTCCCCCCACTAGAGAAATACCCTTCTACCTCAAAAAAAAAAAAAACTGAATCTCATTATTGCCATGCCCTTCTATGACAAAGAAAGGGACAGGAAGTCACACTTTCATGGAAGGAAATTCTTTTTCCTTTTATTTACTTTATCAAACAATCCAACTAAAAGTTATCAAGTATATTCTATTCCTCACACTGTGTGATATACAGAGAAAGCATCAAGCTGCAGTCACCCTAGGAATTCTATCATTTATTGAGAGAAGTAGGACACACACAGGAGATGATTACATAAATTAGTGTAAGATTAAATATCAAAGTGAGCTGCATAGAAATCAAAACATTTTTCTGGGAAAGGAGACGTAGCATAGCTGGTTGGAGTCTAGAAGCTAAAAGCAAGTTTTAGTATCATAGGAGCTGTGATTGACCTGACTTCATTCTGCACTAGCTATGATGTCCTCAGGAAGTACTTTGTCACCCTTAAATTTATTCATCTGCACAACTGGGACAATGATAGAATCCACCTTCAGAGGCTTGGAGTGAAGGTAAAATGAATTAACTCATGTGAAGGGCCCAGAAGAGTGCATAGCACATGGGAGATGCTTAAGGTTATTGAAAAGTAATTCAGGGTAAGAGGGGAAGGAGCTGCTGGCACAGACTTAATGAAATAAGACTAAGAACATGCTTCTAAAACATAGTTGTTTATAAATTACTTGAAGAACTCCTCACAAACCCTGCCAGAAGAAAGATGGATCATAATTCACCACTAAGTACCAACACAAGAAGCCAGGGTGAGTTCTGTGTTGTCAGTGGAATGGGATGAATACTTAGGAATCCTCTTGGCTTTCATCCATCCATCCATTCACGCCTATCACACAAGTCCATGCTGCTTTCCTTTCTTGATGATTTTGCCAACATCAGAGATGCACAGCACTTTAAGTCTCTTTCCCCCTTATTTACCTGGAGCTGGTTGGCTGTGCAGAGCCTGAGAGGGTGGCTTGGGTGCCAGGGACGTAGTGTGATTCACCCCATTTTCTGTTGGGGTTGTCCTGGTTTCACTTGGAGCCTCTGAGGGTGTTTCACCAAGATCAACCTAAAATCATAAAGATCCTTTCATTTTCCACATTTCTTATTGTTCTTTCATTGCCTTCCTAACCCAACAAGGCTGTTACGGCATTTTCTCAATTCATTCAGAGTCTGAAATATCAAATTTGAAAATGTCTGGAAAGCAAGATATGTTGCAACATAGTGTTGAATCACGTTGTGGTAGAATGACTGTATGAAAGTCCTGGATTTTAACTTCAACCTGTCTGTGCCCTTTGGTAGTGCCCTTGTACTGCCTCTGGATGTGATCACGTGATTAGCTTTTAACAAATATACAAGTAGCAAACTTCGTACAAGTGGAGGATCATGAAGACACTTGTGAAAATTTGTACAATTTTAGTCACACTAGTTTATATAATTAATTTATATAATTTATAATTATATAAAGGCCTCCAGAGTAGCTGAGATTACAGCCATGTACCACATGCCCAGCTATATCACAATTCTTAAACGTTGTGCAATGTGACACTGGGCAAGCCATATACTCTCTGTGCTCCCTTTCCTTATCTTTGTAGCTGAGGATGTGTGTGTATTGGAGACCATAATAATGTCTATCTTATAAGGTTTCTTAGAGGATCAAATAAGTTAATCTTTATAAAGGCAATCTTTAGAAAGGCCTTAGACTACTTTCTGGCACACAGTAAATGTGTGGGGGTTAAGTAAATAAATATAATATATAAAATGTTAAGTTTGTGAAACACTACTAATGAATAATAATAAATGCATGAAAACCTATGAACTCTCCACTCCACTCACTCCAACATATTACCACAGATGCTATTCACAGTCAACATTTAATAAATGTTTGTTGATAAATGCAATCTTTGCAAAATAACTGCCTCAGTAATTACATGCTCGTTCAATGATGCTTTTCGACACTCTAAATCATCTGCAGCTTCTTAGTAGAACTGCGTTCCAAGCCCAGAGCAGGTTTTGTTGACAATGGGTTTATCTCAATGCTCTGTTTTGTAGCACATATATAAAATATGTTAGGAAATATATTTTCCAGAAATCATTTGGAGCCCAACATTGTGCCATTTTTGCAAGTAATTACCAATAGTGGATTGATACTGTTATAAAAGCTAAGATGAAAATGAAAATAGTAACCCTGACTGTCACAAGTGACTTTCTTTCTCTTTTCCCTTTCTTTAAGATTTTTTAGAACAGGGTCTTATTGTGTGGACTAGGCTTGGTAGCCAAGGCTGGCCTCAATCTCATAATGCTCTGCTTCTACCTCCTGAGTGCTGAGATTAGAGGTGTGTGCTACCATGCCTGACACCACAAGTGGCTTTAATTCATCCCTCAAAGCATCTTTCACACAAGTGTACCAAATTGCTTTACTCAATGGCAGAACTTAAGTTAATGAATGACCCCTGTTAATTTACCAGGCCTGTTCAGTGCTGGCAGTATCAAGGTGGAAGACATGAGCCCTGGTACCAGAGGCTGGACATTAAGTAGAATAGGAACCTAAACGAGTAACCTAGGAAGGCTCTATAGTTCACTATGGTAAAATGTTGTCTTTTAAAAAATGGCCATTTCTGGTGGGTGATATCTGGTACCGTCACATTCATCAGATACAGTTACATTCATCAGGAAAATTCTTCCAAGAAGCATAAACTAAGGAGAAGGATTGTGCATTCACAGTTCATCAAGGCACTGCAAACAAGAGGCTCCTGGTCCAAAGGCAGTGCAAGGAAAGTGTTTTCTTTGACTCATCCAGTATTTCTGAATTTTCAATGAATGTGATTTTGTTATTTAGAAGATGGATTGCTTGCTTCTCTTGAAAAATCACACTTGGAAACATTGGGCCTGCACAACCAAATTGGGCTTACAACTGAGTAGTTTCTGCTCCTTTCCAGAGAAGTCTCTCCTTACTCACTTACGTTTTAACTGCCTGACTCCAGTAGGCAATTGGGGTCTAGGAGGACCTTCAGAAGTCTGAAAAGTCATAGATGGTTGGCTATGAAATTCATGAAGGAGATGCATTTACATTGCACAGGTGGAATGGAAGCAAAGGGAGTATGAGAGCAAACACTGATTACTAACAAAGTCAACCATTGGTCCTGGTTCTCTGGCTTGAGCACAGTAGGGGCAAAGCTTCTAGACCCTCAGCTGAGGTTACTATATGTAGCTGCTTTGCAAACAGGGAAGGAAGGAAGCACACCTATTCCATTGGCATCTGACCTTCCGCCTCCATATCCAGTCCAGAATCTGGAGAATGAGCCAGATTCTTCCTAAGGTGACAGCTGGCTGAATTAGCCCTGAGAAGAACAGAGAAAAGGAAGATGGAGGGAAGAATAGAGGTGATGGGAAGCCCACATCTGGGAATACAATAATGACTGGCTTCTTTTTGGCAGCTAGAGTTAATGTCTTGGGGTATAAGGCTGGAGGCATATTCAAAAATGGATCCAGAAAGCTTATTTTAGCTTGGCACCAGGGTTGCAACCATTTTATGAGTCAGGTTGAAGGAAAAAGAAAATGTGTGCTTATAGAGCACAGGGAGACAAGCTCTCCTTTCCAAAAGCTGACATAGTGGATAAATTCAAAGACATCTGTCAAAAAGCACGTAAATGTTGAGTAAACATAGACAAATGCTTTATGGTTACAACAGAGGATGAAGGGGTCACCAAGGTGGCTGCTGGACATTGAGGTAGGCTTTGAAGAAATGCTGAGCCTTGGGGTCCCACCTGGACATGACTCCAGGCAAGGTAGGCTGCATTGCAAAGCAGGGGCAACATTCAACCCAACATTAATATACAATTAATGGGAATGATGGGGACCAGTGAATTGGGCGAGATTTAACTCGACAGGGAAACGCAAGGCCAGTCCGAGAGCTGGAGAGAGTGCTCTTTAAAATGGGGCAACTGCTGCTCCATTTCAGCCTCTTGCTGCCTAGGTTTTGGGAAAAGCTGTAAAATGAACTTTTTCTGTGAACTCTCAATTTCAAAATACCAAAGAGCAAACAAAACACCTCTTCAGAGAGCATGTCAGTCAGAAGCTGCCCATCCATACTGTCTGCTCGGAGGAGCAGTTTTCCTGGGATCTGGGACTGTCGGTGAACAATGAGTCCTTAGAATGCTGAAGGGATAGGGATGCTGAAAATGCCAGGGACCAGAGGCCAACTGGTTTGTAGCTCTCCATTCCCTACCTCACCAGTGTCCAAACACATGTTGAGAGAAGGAGGCCATTAATACTGGGCTAAGGAATTTGGGGTCCTCGTATAGCTGCACTCTTGCCAAGGCCTCTGTGATTTTTCTAGAGACAGATGTTGTATGTTAGTTTGGTGAAAATCTATGATGGCATGTATATGAGAGTGGTGCTAATGTTTTTGATAAGGGCTCTGTGTACTGACTATGTGTACCCAGTGGAAATCAATAATAGAAGCAGCACCACCTTACTGTGTTCAGGACACTGTTGTGCTTAGTCCTGCTGGGCTTCATTCTCAGAATCATTACAAAGCAAAGAAATCAAAGGTGTTATTGAAAGTCTTTACAAGGACTTGCCAGAGGTCACAGGGGTGACAGCAGAACTGGTATTTGAATGGTTGTTATAGACTGAAGTCTAATTTTGTGTGTGTGTGGTATTGGGGTTTGTGTTCAGAGCCTACGCCTTGAGCCACTCTACCAGCCCTTTTTTTATGATGGGTTTTTTCAAAATAGGGTCCCATGAATTATTTTCCAAACCAAGATCCTCCTGATCTCTGCTTCCTGAGTTGCTAGGATTACAGGTGTGAGCCACCAATGCCTGGCTGAAATCTAAACTTTTAGAACAGCTGTTATTCTGTATTCTATAATAGAAACAACTTGCTGCTGAGATACAAAGACATATAAATGTGAACATAACTTTCAAGCAGTTTACTTCTGTTGCATGGAAAAGGCATTCATACATAAAAAGTTAAATCAACAAAAAGGTTAAATACAAGAGCAAGTAAATGAAGATATGCTGATGACTGAAATATTACACAATACCTACCAGATGAATATGTGAGCCAAAATTAAAAAATCAAATCCTTGTCCCACTCAAAAGAATAAGCAAAAGTCAACACTTGTGACTTATTTTCCTCCAGGCATTTCCCAGACATTAATTTTTTTTTTTTTTGGCAGTACTAGGGTTTAAACTCAGGGCTTGGTGCTTGCTAGGCAAACACTCTTTATGACTGTAGTCACACCCCTAGTACTTTTTATTTGGTATTATTTTTTGGGTATGCTCTTGTGTTTTTTGCCTAGGACAGGCCTCCAATTGTGATCCTCCTACCTATGCCTCCCACATAGCTGGGATCATAGCTGTGTATCACCATGGTGGCTTGCTTATTGAGATGGGGTATTGCTAACTTTTTGCCAGGGTTGGCCTCAAACTCAGATTCTTCTAATCTTTGCCTCCCTGGTACTTGGGATTATAGCATGACCACCACACCTGGCCTCCAAACATTTGCTTTTATGAATTTCAGTTAAATAAACACAAAATCACTGGGTGCTGGTGGCTCATACCTATAATCCCAGCTTCTTGGGAAGCTGAGGGAGGTTCAAGGCCAGCCTGGATAAATAGTTTACAAGACTCCATCCCAAAAATAACAAGAGCAAAATGGACTGCAATAAAGTGCCTGCTTTGCAAGTGTGAAGCCATGAGTTCAAACCCCAGTCCCACCAAATAATAATAATAATAATAATAATAAAAAAAACAAATGAAATTCTTTTGCAGAGTACTGGAAATTATGATAGAAAGAAAAGGACCAGAAATTTTTTATCAATTTAATTTAAAGACTCCCTAGAATCCAGTTAAACAAATCTCAAGGAAAGAAGGTTGAGAAAATAGGACTTCAGCTGCTTAGAAGATTTTGCTGTTTCTAGGAAAGCAAAAAAGCTGAGGGAATCACAGCAGAAGTAAGGCTCTGCCCTCTAGTGGCCAAATGGAATTATTGCAATATATTTTTCTTCAAAACATGCAAAATTGACTAAAAATTAAGTTTATAAAAAGAATTTATACCTTTTC